CTTGAAGTTATTAGGAAACCTCTGCAGTTATTCTTCTAAGCCAAAGATAGTGCCTATATGAATAAAGGTCTTTATGATCTGTCACGCACATTGATTGTGGTTGCCTTAAGCTACTTTCAAAACACATATGCAGCAAAATATGGCTATTACAGACTTATTTAAACATGTGCATGTGCTCATTTTCACAATGCTGGTCTCTCTTCCAAACTCACTGTGTATTATTTGACTATCAAGCCACTCTTCTAGCATTAAAAAGTACTTGAAACCACCAGCATCATTTCATGTTTCCTTTTTGTTTGTGTAAATTCTCTTTCTTGTGTAATGTGCTCAATGATGTATTATTGAAGTATACAAGAAACACACTCCCTCACGGAGATTGTGGAGGCCATGTTGATCCCCTGAAAGGCTCAGAGATTTTCTGTTCAGGTTACATAGGCTTTTTTAGAGCAGCCAGTAGTCATAATGTGTGAGAGATAATACTCTTTAGCTCAGAAGAAACTATAGGTGAGAATTCAATTAATCTAACAAGCCACAAAAGACAGGAAATTACAATTTAAAACGTTCCCAAGACTTAGGGTGTTGAGGGGTCCTCATGACCAAAAGGGTAACTGCAACCTGAGGATTCGCTGAGTAATACTACCCTTGGCTGAGTAATACTACCCATGACTGGGTGAAAGGAGGAGCCCAGGCTGTGAGGATGTCACATGTCTTACCTGTTCCTCACAGATTGACTCCTGCCTGCAGAGTGTTTTTGCCCAAAGCCTGAACAATCTGGCTGCACCAATATTCTTTCCAATATATCTCTATTATCTGAATAAATTGGTTTGCTGATTTATCACGCACCTCTTGGTTAATATCAGCTGTGGGAGAATAGTGAGGTGGCCCTGCAAAAGTTACAGTGCTCAAATTAGGATGAAAAACTGTAATGAAGATTTCCACAGTGTATCTTGTTAAAAGAGACACCTAGCAGGGAGGGGAGTGAAGGGAAATGTAAGCAGGCAGGTTCAGAGGATCTTACTAACATATAGATTGGCCTGGCCCTTGAACAAGTTAACTTCAAATCCTTTACCTATCAAAGGTTGCCAATAATAATACCACTTCAGAGTATTGTTGGGGAGGTAAAAATGGAAAAATCCAAAAAATATGCGTAGTATGATGCCTGATACATATTAGGCGTGCTATAAATGCAGAATATAAATATCACATACATATTTCTTCACTTTTCCACCAAACTAGGCAGTTCAAAGGCAGCAGGGTGGTCTGAGGTATAGCATCAGTGTGGCCAACAATGAGTTTGAAATTGACCCTTTCCAGGAGCAGATTGGAGAGGGATCAGGACTCTAGATGGCTGCTGGGTAGAGGGCAGTGCAGTTGCCTGAGGGATAAAGCACAGCCTTTCAGAGGAAGTCTGGAAATAAACATTGCATTACAATTACAACATGCACATTATCGCTGTCATAACCATAAACAATAATGACAATAGTTAACATTGCCCAGATGCCATGTGATGCACTTTACACACATAATCTCCTATCTTTGCATAGAATGGTTGCCTATCGTGCTTTGTTTCACTGACTTATGTTTGCACCATCTATTGAGGTTCTAGATTTCTTTCCCACACACAACTGGTAAATTGCAGTACTTGCCAGATCGTTGATTCTCCCACTCTCATTCCCTCAATAATATGGTGGAGAATTGGAAGTGACTATATTTAGTCTTAGGCTGAATTTTTGATACAAGTGGATTTGACATCCTTACTCTAGAATCTCTGACAGAAACAGAGCCCATTGCCCATATAAGCTTGAGTGGGGAGGATCTAAGCAGCCAGGGGCTTGCTGGTTTATCACACCATCCTGTTCTCCTAAGTGTGATACCCTAAGCCCACAGAATCCAGCATGAAAGTGTTGCCAAGTTTTCCAAGGGAAAAGATATAACCCTACTGTCAAGGTAGTGTCTGCCTAATAACAATAAAAATAAAATAACAATAAGAATATCCAACATTTACAAATCACATATATTGTAAACTAAATGATTTGCATGTACTAGCTGATTTAAACAATTCACATATACATGCATGTTCCACTTTACAGACAGCAAAGCAGAGGTCCAGATATGTACTTTGGTTGAAGAGCTGAGTATAAGATGGGTGTAGAAAAGGAAGTTTAGACTGTAGTTAGTTCTAGACTTAGGACCTTGTTCTTGGCCAAGTCCCCTGAGAGAATCTCCACCTCAGAGCATGGCAGACTAGTTCCGTACCATTACTAATTTTTCAGGATCAAAATTAAATTATTTTGCAAGAACTTCCCTAATGTGTCTCTGACTTCTCCAGTTTAGCACATCCTGACTCAGGTATTCCAACCACTACCAACAGATCACGGCTCTTAACATATCGTGAGTGCTTTTGCGTAGTGGGTGCCTGGGCCCCAACTGCCTTCTCTCTTCCTCATCATTTGTTTACCCTAATTATAGCACCTGTCTCAGGAAGTCATCTTCCCCAGAAAGCTTGTCCAGATTCCTCAAAGCCCACTGCATTGAACATCCAATGCTTGGCCACTTCTTTCATAGATCTCTATCTAAAACTCTAAAGTCCAAAGGTTGCAGTTTATTTTAATTTATTTTATAACCCCAGAATTCGCAAGCCCCAATACGATTATCTTACTGAGCTGTTAGAAATAATGAATGGGATCCCTGGAGATCATCACTGAGACCACAGTTTGTGATGGCCTCATTAATTTTTGTTAATATTGGAGTTGTGATTCTCTGCTTATGTTCTTTATTTGCTTCTCTTTTCCTGATCAGCACGTTATGCATTAGGTACATGGCTTTGACAGTAATTAAAATTGATGACTGAGCGTGACCCTTACATTTGCTAAGGCAGCACAGTTTTGTCCAATACAGTTTACTTTTGTAACCAGCATCCTCCCAGAACTGGCATAAATCTGTGGCCTTTCCACAAGGATGCCGTTTGTTCCTTTTATGTCTTGATTCATTACATTTTGTAAAGAGCGCTGACTGAGTAAGGCTTTTTCCTCTATGAAACTGTCACCAAATGTGCCATAAAGGGGAAAGCACCAGATGTCTGTTTGCAAGGAAAAAATCCTAGTGTGTGAAGAAAGAGTCAGGGAGTCTTTAAGGCTTCCCAAGAATTTCCAGCCTTGATATTTGGCTAAGCACTGTCCTTGGGGTTCTCAGAACTGACCTTCACATACCATTTCAGTCACTGTTCTGGAAAAACTTGCCTACTTTAGTGCAGATCTGAGGCCTGGACACTGATGTCTGTTAGTTTTCTCAGATTCAGGCCAAAATTTAAACAAACTTACTGGATAATTTTGACCAAAGTAACACATATATTTGTGTTACCATGTTTAACTTACTTTTAAATCGCTTTACTGAATTATGACCGATGTACAAGCTGTATATGCTTCATGTATACAAGTCATTAGTTTGAAAGTAAGTATATATCTATGGATCATCACCTCAATCTATGCTATATGCCTGGCTGTCATCTCCAAAAGTGTCCTTCCACTCTCTTAATTATTATTTCTATGAACTTAATTTCCTTTTCCTTGAGTTATCAGAACTTTCTCAGAGCATACTTGTCAGTGAAACATTTCACTATAGAAGCTATGTAAACATACTGAAACTTAATAAATTTCCAGTGTTTCACTTGAAGCAGAGGATAATGAAACAAAACGTTCTCTGAGTTGCAGCAAGGAGTTAGTGATGGTGATAGGGATTATTCAGCCTATTAATGGTAATAATAAAGACTTAGTGTATCCAGGCAACAAGGAGATTTAAAGGCATTGTTACAAATGCAACTTTGCTTTCTGATCACCTTAAAACATATATAATATGTGATTTACTCTAGGAAAAAATTGATAATTTTTTTTCAGTACATGGTACGGGGATTAAACCCAGGGCCTTTCCTCTGAGCTTCATCCCCAGTCCCTTTCTTTTTCTTTCTTTCTGTCTTCATCTCTCTCTCTCTCTCACTCACTCTCTCTCTCTCTCTCTCTCTCTCTCTTGACACAGGACCTTGCCAAGTCCATAAGTTGCCTAGGGTTGGGTTTGGAGTTGTGATCAAGATTGGTTTTATGCTGTGCCCTCCCCCCGAGAGAGGAAGCCCCCAGCCACAAAACAGCTTACTGACATGCAAACCTATACTTATCACTCCAGAATTTCCAAGAATTTGGGAGTTTATATGGTTGCAAATAGGAAGAAGACCAAATATATATATTTCACAGTATCAAAATAGTAGCTTCATTGGCCTTGAGGAAAATCTCAGTATTTGTTGTGGATCTGGGACACAATTATCGCTCTAAGTATAAACCAGAGGGAACATGATCTGATCTGGGGAGTCTGGACAAACACCATTCTCCACCAAGCCCAAACAACAGAAACATACTTTCATAGCTGAGATACTTACAAAGCCACTCAGGTGGAATGGCAACTACATTGGTCATTTTCCACTTTTGCCTATCTTTAATGCAACCTGACTAGTGCTAATCAAGTTGCAGTTGGTTTTATAATAGATAACTTCTTGTCCTATCTTCCATCATAAAATTCTTTCTCTCTTGTCCAACTTTTGTTTTTCCCTCATTCCTTCCCCGACCCCAGGATTGTTCAGAGGTTTATTTCTATTACTTTTGAAAAAAAATTTTTTGACTGAACTGTTCTTTTATACTGCTTTAAAGAATTTATATTTTTTCTCATTTTGATAATACTCAAGTATGGATTTAAATGATAAAGGAAGGCAGTTTTTTTCCATTGTTCCCTACTGTGTCTATGCATGAGACCAGATGTAATGAAGACCAAAATGTTTCCACCTCCTCAGATTTTTATGAGTTCTTTTTGGTGGATAGGTGCAAGTTTAATTTTTAAAAAGGGGGTACTGCAAGGGAGCAGGTCAAATTTTATCATCTGTAAATGATGCTGTAACAAGGTCCCATCGGATCATTTATTTTATGGAATGACTAATGGTTTTCTTCTTCCTATTCCAGGCACCGCAGCTACCCTTGACAGAGCACACCTGAGTCTGCAAACAGTTAATTCAAGCCTGGAAACAAGTAAGAATTTCAGTCATGCTGCAGTCTTACGTGTTGTTTTCCATGATGTAATGTACTATCTTTTCCTGTTTCCTTTGTTAGTGATAACTGTCACTAAATTAAAATTTTAAAGACAAAAATAATTTTTTCAGAATTTATTTTTCAGTTTCACTACAAAGCTATTTCTTATCTATTTTGCTTATGGTTGGAGATGAAGTAAGATAAGTTAATGGAGGAAAAAAGAAGAAGTGATATATTATTATGGATCAACAATGGTTGAATTCAGAAAATTGCCCTCTGCTAAAACCATTTTAAAATCATTACTATTATTATTTTGAGATAATTATCTAGTTATTACACTGGCAGAAAGCTAAACTTATCCTTCCAAATTGTTACATGTTTCAAAATTCTCCCTTCATGTAGGTGTCTCTTTTCTTTGGAATGACAGGACACCTCCCTTCTTGTCCTTCAGCAATCTCTACATTATGCATAAGACTTAATTCAAACACTGAATCTTGGAGAATCCCCAAATCCTTTAGGCCCAAATAGGTTTTTGCCTTTTGTGCTTCCATGGAATTTATCTGTGGGTCTCCCATTTTAGTGTGTATTTTGACACTATGCACTGAACTCACTGTATCGTGTGGGCTGCATGAATGAATTCATTACAGTCGACTTTAAGCCAAAACCCATGTTTTGTGCTCTTTCTAAATCCCTTACATCATCTAACAATCACTAATCTTATAGTAAGTACTTCTTTATTTAAATTTTAAGGATAGATGTTTTCACCACTTGAAGTATGTGTTACAGTTCTCATTGTGCAATAAAGAAAGGGAAGATAGTGTGCCTAATTGAGCTTAAGCTATTGCTGTTTTATTGATAATTCTAATGTCATAAAACCATAATTTGGATTTTGTGACTAAATTGCAGAGTACATTTTTAATGTGTGATTTAAACATCATTTCCTTGGAAGTGACCCACACTGAGGGTTGATGCTATTTTTAATGAATATCATTCACTTGTTATTTGTGCCAGACCATAAATGCTATACAGTACTCCTGATTTAGAAGAATCTGACATGTTAATCTGCCCCTGACTAACATGAGGGAAAGTTTAAAAATGGGTAGATGTTTGATTATGTTTCGATCATGCTAGCTGGTATGTTCTAAAGCCTCTTTCAATAAATAAAATGACCTTTCATTTCTGTAAAGAAATGGGAAGAGCCATTTAAGGATGTTTTATTAATGATGTTCAAGTTACATAGGAACCGTCCTCCACATAAGACATCACCTTCTGCTCTCCTGTCAAGTGGTACTGTGTTTTCCCCCACAATTAGACCTACCCAGAAAACAAGTTCTAGCATGATTTTAGAAGAGCTATCAAGCTAGAACTTGTTTTCCAACTAGGTCTTATTTGGGGGGGGGAAGGAAATATTATGCTTTCTCCAAATCATTTTATTTGTCAGTTCAAAGTCTGAGGAGTTTATCCATCCTGTCTTGTTGAAATACATCTAAATAAGGCAGATGTGTTGAATAACTTCCTATCAGTCATTTGGCATGTTGTGATTTTCTGTCTTTGTGACAAGAAGACTAGCTAATTGTCATTCACATAATAGTAACTCACGTAGACATGACCTCCTTGCACAAGGAAAGATCTTATCTTTCCAGCTTTTTCTCATCAGGTGTTACCTGCCCTCTGTCCCAGGAATGATTGGATGAATTCAGCCCTGCTGTAGGATGGGTCTGTGTCCATGTGCACCTGCCACAGGCTGTGTGCCTGAACATGAGTCACCTTTATCATCTGAAGCATCTCATCCAGATGTAACAGACCCAGATGTTCATATCACCTCATTATGCCATTGTGAACATTGTCACTCTTATCTCAAATCCAATTATCTGCTGTGCACCTAACACTGAGGTCTCCATCCAGAGAGAGTGAAATATTGTCCTGACATCAAGGGCCTCACATTCTCTCTAGGGAGTTAATTTTATGTGAAAATCTAGTGTTCAATGTGAAATAGGCTGAGGATACCTTATAATAATTTATACCTTTCCTATATGTACTTTTTAAAAATTCTTAGATTCAAGACAAAGCCCCATAAATGGAAAATAAAATAAATCCCTTTTGAGAGATTTGATGAACATTTGGGTCAAATATGTAATAGTTTATTAAATGTTCAGATGATTGCACATCTTTTTGAGGGTTTCCTCTCATTTTAAAAAGATCATTACTTTTTTGAATTCTCCATGTATCATAATAAAAACAAAAATGTTATAATTAGTGGCATTTCTACCTTGAGGTAAAGTGAATATCCAACTGGAACAAAGTATTAAAATTTCATGGACTGGCCTCTGAAGCATAAGTTAGTCTAAGATTTTAGGAAAACAAGCATTTTATATATATATATATATATATTATAATATATATATATATATAATATATATATATATATATATATAACACAGATCACTTCATCCATAGAATTTTCCCAACTCCCCCAAGAGGATATATGTATCCGCCCTGGAATCTCAGAACCTTTTCTCACTCTGGGAAAGATACTATAGCACACTGGATTCAGAATTCAGCCACTGGAGCAGACAGCTTTAGTTTAGTACCAGTTCCATTGCAGACCTAATGCATGATGTTGTCTAAGTATCATGACTTCTCTGTCTTGCTTTATTTAGTCCCTACAATAAAAATACTAATAATAACTACCTCATAAGGTACTTTAAGAATTACGTATGTTGATATATTTAAAATAGACTACTATATAGCCCATTTTAAGTTTTCATGGTGTTTATTGTACCTTCTTATGCTTTTTGTTTTATTCTAATGTGTATTAGATTGAAATTAAAATACTTAACTTATGAAGTTGCACATATTTAACTATTTTTAGTTATAAAGTCATCATATCATTTGGTTCAACCTAGTGTTTATAGATTTTTGTGTTTTCTGTCCTTCCTTAATGAATTGTATTATCGCTAAGGTTAGTGACATATTATAAATCTTATATTTGTCAGTATCTCTTCAGTACCTGGCACATGGTATTTAATGAATAGCTGTTGGATTGTGCACATGCACAGAAATGTTAAAAAATAAGTAAATACTCTTACCCTAATATCTTAAGTACTCGTTGGCTACAACTTAAGTTTCATCCATGCATATCAGTAGTCATTTATTAAAGTGAAAGGATAAAGATATACAGGAAGAGAAATATTTCTTATCCATTGCTGAACATAAATATTTAGTCTTTCCTAAAAGCCTTTCAACAAGCCTTAACTTCAGGTTATAAACTTAATGGCACAGACTAATACCGGGTCCTCCTGGCACTTCAGCTTGCAAGGATATAACTAGTTAGTAACCCTACTCCTGGTGGCAGCTCATCACTGCCCACATAGCAGCTGAACAGCTCTCTCAGTTTTAAGCACGCTTATTTACCAGATAGCTTCGACATTAAGGTCTTACTACTTGACAGCACAGTAAAAAGAGGCACAGCATAAGGCAAAGTACATATATATTTGCAGGATGCTGCCTTAGAGTGAATGTGCAGCATTTGTTTGTCATGAGGAATTTGAGCTTCGGACATGCGTTAGGGAGCAGCACCAATACAGGGCTCTGACATGGATGCTGGCTTTGAATTCTTGACAGTCTACTTGTTTATAAAGGATTCAACAAATGATTCAGTAAGTAAATACAGATTCTTGTGATCCCTTTTAAGGAAACAGTGTTTATGTTGGCTTTTTCTTACACCCAGACGAATGGTAAAACCCTCCTGACTCACATGCAGCACTAATCTCCAGTTGATGCCAAGCATTCCAGGAATACTATTTATCCCCCTTCCTTGCTTCTTACAAAATAGGAGTCCTGCAGATAGAATTATGCACTCTACACAAGGAGAAATCGAGGTATAGAGAAGCTAGCTTAATTAAGCCTCTTAAAGCAACAAATAGCAAATAAAATGTCAGTGCAGTGCTACGTTTCTGTCCTTAGATAAGCAAATTGAGGTGTAGATAATTTATAGTAATAGTTCAAACAAAACAGAAATGTTCACTTATCTCAAATATAGACTCTAGTGACTGTTTTCCAGCCTGAAATATTTTGTACATCTTTGTGCTTTAATGTACACTGCCTTCCTTTCACATGTAATGGTTTGGAAATAAAGATTCCTTATAAGATAAATATTTGGTCTTAAACTTTTTTTCTTCTTTAAGTTCTAACAGTCAATCCCGAGCCATAATCATTATGGTAAATAGGTATTTACAATGTGTTTACAAGAGATCTCTTCTTTTCTGTGCACATGGTATTATTGGATGGAGATCCCTTTTGATGGTAAACATATTTGGCCAGGTTTTTCTTGAAATCAAACAATAAGAAAATAGTTATAAAAACCTCAATCTTCAAAGTGAGTGCATTTTTAAGTCTGTAAAGAATGATTAAGGGGCTCCCTAAAAATTCTAGTATGCTCTATATACTGTACATACTGATTCCTAGCATTGTTGCTCTACCAAAGTACAGCACACATTTTTTAAAGAATGAAATCCAAGGCATTTACTTTACTGAGAAGTGTGTATTCATCTCAGCTGCCCATTTTTGGATTGGGTCTTTGAATTTAGGGGGGCTGATTTTTTAAATTCTTTATATGTTCTGCATAGAAGCCCTTTGTTTGAGGGACAGTCAGCTAAAATTTTTTCCACGTTTGTGGGTTTTCCTTTTACTCTGCTGGTGATTTCTTTAGATGTGCAGAAACTTTTCAGTAGGATGAGATCCCAGTTGTTGATTCTTTCAAGGGTTCCACGTGCAGTTTGCTTTTTGTTCATGAACTCTCTGCCTACCCCTATGTCTTTAAGGTTTTTACCTACTTTCTTTTCCAATAGATTGAGTGTTTCTGTTTTAATATTGAGATCGGTGAACCATTTTGACTTGAGTATGGTGCATGATGATAGGCTTGAGTCTATTTAGAAATGCAAATTAAAACAACACTGAGATTCCACCTTACCCCAGTAAGAATGGCTAGCATTAAGAAA